TCAACTATTAAAAAATATTATCGGAATACACTGCTGCCATTTGTAACTGCAATAAATGTTGCTATAAATAAGAAATTAACAATTATACTCTCATCATAACAGAACAACCCTTATATGCAACAAAAATAGTGTTAAGTTTCAAAATAAGAACCACAAAAATTTAGAAATTTTAATTTTGTTTTTTTTTTTAATGTAAAAGATAAAGAAGACGAAAAGATGGAAGAAGAGTGACAAATACTCGTGTTTCGGATTTGTGTAACTGTTTAAGCCAAGGTCAATAAAACAAATGAGAATTGTGCTTTTAATGAAGCTTTAAAACCAAAAAAAAAAAAAGCCTGTTTATTTGTTTGTTATTCCCAATATTTTTTCAACTTTCCAACATTTTTGGCTGGCTACGCAATACGGCATTTGTTTTTTGTCTGCTTTTTACCAGTCATAATATCATAAAACGGAAAAGAAGAGTTGGCATAAATTAAAGACTTCAAAATGATCATAAACACTTTATACGCTGTATTAATGATATTTTAAGCAAAAATTGAAACAAATCTTTGCTTTGAAAAGGCAATTAGTCCAACAACAATTTAGTAATTAGTTACGCACAAAAATTCTGCCCATTATTTAGTGTAATACTGCTGCGCAGGTAGAACCAACAACTTTATTGCAAGTAACTGTCTCCACATATAAAAAATACCTGATTACTTTAAGGAACACTAATTTGATTGCAAGATAAGCCTACAGTCAAAGCGATTGCTGTTTTATAGTACCAAGAATTGTTCAGGAATTCTTGAGCTATTTTGATTAAAAAAAAAAAGCTTTTGCCTGTTTATTGCTGGCGATACGTACATTGACTGCTATAATATCACTGCCGTTGCTGCTGGAATAAAGATGGAAAAATAGGGCAAAAGATAAAATCATGTATGCAGTTCATCACATCCTTTAGCAGCCTGCTATAATTTGCAAATTAAAAAGCCCTAAGAGTTAAAAGGTATATTGCAGGTCACTAAAATTTAAGGATTTATAAGAGCACTAAACATGTTCAAGCAATCTACGTTGTTACAGTTCAGCAGGTAACGAACACCTCATCAGCTAAGTCTTACTCGACTGTATTAGACAGTTGACAGGTATCATGTTTTCAACAAGAGACTAGGTCAACAGTAATCAGATTAATGAGTTTCGAAAATCCCACCAGTATTCAACAGTTAAACCAAGACGGCAACTAGCTGTCTAACCAGATGCTGCATAAACATCACTTAGTTGTCTTCATCTGATTGTAGAATAACCAAGGATTATTTGCAAAAACAGTACAGCTAAGTAACCTGAGAAAGAAATCATACTGGTTAGATGTGTAAAAATGAATTAAAGAATAATTAGACTATCGACACTTAAAAATTCTTCAGTCATCGATCTCGTCGCCATTCATCAATAAACGATTAAAACACCAACTGCTCTCATGACCGCTAAAATCGTCCACTTTAATGACTTCTTAGAATGAAAAAAACTGATTTCCTTGCTGAATTTTTTTTTTTTTTTTTTTGCAATCTTAATAATTGACAAGTCAGTAGAGACAATAAAAGTTTATTAAAAATCCATGAGCTTTTTCAACAAATTTAGCATAAAGAAGCACCATTTTCACTCATCAATTTATTTTCATGCAAAGAAATCTATATTGTACATGCTATCTTTGAAACGTTCATTTGCGTCATCTCAACAGCGACTTTAACAATCATGAGTTTTTTGGAATCCAATTTTTTTATAAAAATATACTTTGCAGAGCTATATAAAAAGACGTACCCTTGCTATTTATACGCTTTTGCTATCAATAAAGCATTAATCAAAAAAAATTTCAAATTCACAGCCACTAAACTTCCAGAAAAAATAATAATTTGAATCTTGAGAAATAATGGTTTAAAATTTTGCTTTATGCAATCTTGGTTTTGATTCAAATATTTTCGCCAGTATTAACCACCATTAACGATATCTTACACAGAGCCATACAAATTACAACTTTCTGATGTAAGTAAAATAACTTGTTTCACGCTTTTGAGTGTTATTCAAACGGTGGAATGTTACCAGTAATATTGTTCGAGTTTGAGCACATAAAAAATTTGCTGTCATAAAAGTTGAATTTACCAGAACGCTTGAGCACAACGTACGGTTCAATACATTTTTTTTTTTTGGTATATCCTAAAAACCAATTTCAATGGCTTCCCATTCCCAACTACCACTATACCTTTCTATTTATGCTATTGGTCTTACATTCTCATATTAAAATCTTGTCAATCTAATTTTATTCAACAAAAAATTACCACATACCAATCAAAACCCGCCATTTCCCGCTACTAAACTCATGTCTCGCAACAACTATACCAAGCAAATAGCTCCAGAAGCAATCCACCTTTTGCCTAAACTTAGAAAGTACGACTAATTTCATACCAACAAACACCTTGTTCCGACTCCACAATCAGCACAAAATCTCTTTCAGCAAAAATATACCAAGACTTGTTTTTGTTATCATCAACACATTAGTTGAAAACACAAACTATCTATCGTGTTTTTACAGGATTTTTGGGCTCTACCGACTGAAGTACAGTCGATAACTACAACACGACCGCATAAAGATTATGAAAGCTCTGACTCAACTTTATCATCAGATCAATTTTCCGGCTCTCTTATCAGTTTAACTTTTAGTCTGGGTTATTTACTCTCGTTCCCTTCATCATTCGTAATTATATGCAGCTTCCGGTCTTCCTAAGGTCAATCTTAGTAGCCAGTGAATCCGTGCACTACAATGATCCAATGTTAAAAATTGCTGCTTCTAGTAAAGAAGTCAAGCATCAAATTTTACTTCGCAAGAACAAGACGAACTTTAGTCAACAAGCGGAATCACTTGAACGCCAACTACCCCCTTTCACACCGATTTTGTCCAATTTTCATAATAAATCAAGCGATTTTGATATCTTCCGCACATTAAGCTAAGTGGGCCCTTTCCAGTAAAGTGCATTGGGTTGCCAGTGAAACTGGTACCAGTCCCACCACAACGCTAAGAAATTCGCGTTTAAAAAATTCCCCTGACAATTTAAACAAATAACCAAAGATAACTCTTGTAGTATACAAATCAATTTTAAGATTTAGAAGAACCACTAGGTAAACCATAAAAGCTGCCGACTGACAATTATTCAGATGAGTGCTGACATTGAAAAAAGCACAGCAACAACAGAATTAATTTGCAGTAAATAGCACTGCTGAAACTTTTCAGTTATTCTAAAGCAGAAAAAATTGTTTCCCAAAGCCCCTCCACGAACAGTCAAACCATAAATGAAACGAAAATTATAACAGAAAATGATCATTGAGAACCGACCAATCAAGTCTGTCTTAATTTTCAAAAGTCGATATAAAATTAACACTCTGCAGACGAAGTAAAAACAGAAAGAAATAGTATCATCCCATATAACAGCCAAAAATAATAAAGTATACAACAGTTCCAACTTATAAATCTAAAATTTTAATTATTTACAATAACAGTTACCCACAAAACAATTGCTATAACATTACAGACTACTATCAGCAAACTATCCAGTTAAAAAAAAGCCTTAGAAAAAGCAACTTTCACAAAAACAAAAAACAAAGAGCAAAGCAGAGTAGATTTAAAAAAGCTAAAAAATGCATTTAGGCTTCCAGTTGAAACAGCTTAAAAACAGCGAACTAATTAATAAATACTAGTTATTAAAAAATTTAAATACAGAGCTTCACTGCGAAGCCTATAATCATAAAGATACATTACCAATAAACATTGAACAGAATCACTGATATTGACTTACTATCGACACTACATCTTTGATTGAAGATTTTAGAATTTAAAGATGCTAGTAAACCTGGCAATAACTGCAATACTCATTTAATTCACACGACATGAAAAAACTCTTAGCTTACAACAGGCAAAAAAGCAG